CCCAAGAAGTCACTCCCCAGCCCCCCCCCCCCCCCCCCATCCCTAGGCAACCAGTAATCTGCCTTCTGTCTGTACAGATTTGCCTGTACTGGACATTTCGTGTCAATGGGATCGTACACTATGTGGACTTTTGTGTCAGGCTTCTTACGCATCGTTCTTAGGGTTCATCCACGTCGTAACAGGTTTTGGCCCTTCATTCCTTTTTATGGCCGACTCTTACTCCATTGTGTGGGTATAATTTGTCTATCCATTTTTCAGATCACGGACATTGGGTTGTTTCCACCTTTTGGCTCTTGTGACTAATGCTGCGGTGAACATTCGAGCACAGGTTTCTGTGTGGACATGTTCTCCTTCTCCTGGATGTTTACCTAGCAGTGGAATTGCTGGGTCATACGGCAATTCTATGTTGAGCTTTTTGAAGAACCGCCAAATTGTTTTCCGCGGCTGCTGTACCGTTTTATATTCCCACCAGCAATGCGTGAGGGTTCCAGTTTCTCCACATCCTCACAACACTTGTTATGGTCTGTCTTTGTAGCCATCCTAGTGGGTCTGAAGTGGTAACTTGTAGTTTTGATCTACCTCTCCCCAGTGGCTAGTGATGTTGAGTATCTTTTCATGTGCTTGTTGGCCATTGATGTACTTCTTTGGAGGTATGCCTGTTCAAGTCCTTTGCCCATTTTTGAATTGGATTGTATCTTTGTTGTTGAGTTGCAGTAGTTCTTTATATATTTTAAATACAAGTCCCTTATCAGATACATTATTTACAAGAACTTTCTCTGTGGGTTGTGTTTTCATTATCTTCATAGTATCCTTTGATGCACAAAAGTTTAAAAATTTATATGAAGTCCAATTTATCTATTTTTTCTTTGGCTGTTTGTACTTTGGGTATCCTATTTAAAAAAAAAAAAACATTGTCAAATCCGAGGTCATGAAGATTTACTCCTATGATTTCTTCTAAGAGTTGTGTAGTTTAAGCTCTTACATTTAGGTTTTTGATCCATTTTGAGTTAATCTTTATATATGATGTGAGGTAGGGGTCCAACTTCATTGTTTTACATGTGGATATCCAATTATCTCACCAGTGTACTGGGACATGTTGAAAAGACTTCGTTCCTTCATTGAATGATCTCAGCACTCTGGTTGAAAATCAAAACATATAGTATGTAGATATATGGGTTTATTTGTAGACTTTCAGCCCTATTCTTTAGATCTATCCTATGCCAGTACTACATTGTTTTGATTACTGTAATTTTATAGCAAGATTTTCTGAAAAAAAATGTAATGTTTATTTATTTTTGAGAGAGAAAGAGTGTGGTGAACAGGGGAGGGCAGAGAGAGAGGGACACAGAGAATCTGAAGCAGGCTCCAGGCTCTGAGCTGTCAGTACAGAGCCCGACGTGGGGCTCAAACCCATGAATCATGAGATCATGACCTGAGCCAAAGTTGGATGCTTAACCAACTGAGCCACCCAGGCGCGCCTATGGCAAGATTTTTTGTAGCAGGGTGCCTGGGTGGCTCAGTCTGTTAAGCGTTCAGTTCTTGATTTTGGCTCACGTCATGATCTCATGATTTGGGAGATCAAGCCCTGTGTCAGGCTCTGCACTGACAATGCGGAGCCTGCTTGGGATTCTCACTCTCCTCTCTCTGCACCTCCCCTACTTGTGCACGCTCTCTCTCTCTCTCTCTCGCTCTGTCTCTCAAAATAAATAACTTAAAAAAAAAGATTTTGTGTAGGAAAATGTAAATGTTCCAACTTTGCTTTGCTTTGTTTTCGAGATTGTTTTGGCTATTTGAGATCCTTCTCTGATCCTTCCTGATTTTATGATCAGTTTTTCCACAGCTACCAGAAAGGCCACTGGGGATTTTGACAGGGATTGCACTGGATCTGTAGAATGCTTTGGGGAATATTGACCTCTTAACAATATTAAATCTTCCAATGCATGAACACAGATGTCTTTCCATTTACTTAGGTTTTTACTTTCTTTTGGCAATGTATTATAGTTTCAGTATCTGAGTGTTTCACCTTCATTACATTTATCCAAGATATTTTATTCTTTTGTATGTTCTTGTCAATGGAAATGGTTGCTTAATTTCCTTTTTGCATTGCTTATTTTTGTGTGTTGATTTTGTATCCTGCAACTTTGCTGAATTCATTTACTTTGTCTAACAGGTTTGGAGGTGGGGGGGATTCTTCAGGATTTTCCATATATAAGATTATGTCCTTGGCAGATTGAGGTGGTTTTATTTCTTCCTTTCCAATTTGAGTGCCTCTGATTGTTTCTTTTTCTTGACTAATGTCTTGGGCTAGAACTTCCAGTACAATGTTGAATAGAACCTAGAGAGCGGGCATCCTCAACTTGTTCCTGATGCTGGGAACACTTTTAGTCCTGGGACTGACGGGAGCCAGAAGCGAGGAGTTTGCACAGGCAGTGCTAGAGCTCACAGGGAGACCATGGCCTGTTGAGTCTCCTGTAGGAGTACAGGGGCATGTGGAGTCTGGGCCTGGATCTGGGAGTCCTGAAGCGACACAGAAGAAGCCAGCCTGGTTGGCCAAAGCCCCTCCTCCTCTCAGCACCCCTGGGCCTGGTCTCCTGGGCCCCTTCCCTTCTGCAGAGTGCTCTGGCCCCAACACATGGTGAATGCTTTTGTCCCTGTAGAAGAAGAGCCGTAATGAGACGTATGGCCAAGGTAGCGGAGTGGAGATCTTGGAGAACCGGCCATACACGGATGGCCCCGGCGGCTCTGGACAGTACACGCACAAGGTGTACCATGTGGGCATGCACATCCCCAGCTGGTTCCGCTCCATCCTGCCCAAAGCGGCCCTGAGGGTGGTGGAGGAGTCCTGGAATGCCTACCCCTACACCCGAACCAGGTGAGCCTTTCCCCACACCCTGCGCCACCCTCTGGTGGGGAAGGAACCCCGGGGGTGGCCCTCTAAGTAGGCTCACCCTCCCTCCAAGAGGCTCAGACTCCTGGGGAGCTAAGTCTCCATTCCAGGAGTCTCCATCCTCAGAGAACAGGCAGGAAAGGGGAGGGTGTCCCCCTTGTTACTGCACCTTCCCAGGAAGGCCGGGAAAGCATGAGTCAGGTGAGGGCCACCTGAGATCCCTTTGCCATCTAGGAAGGCTCAGGGAATACAAACTCACGTTAATGATCACCTGGGAATGCGGGGCCACTAACCAACCAGCTAGGAAGAAACGTGAACCAAGGGTAGACCAGATGGCCCAGAGATTCTCTGTGACCCTGAGACCTTCAGCACCTGCAGCAGTGCTTTCTTATTTTCCACTTTGAACAGGGCTTCCTTTGGATTCCCCAAGAAGGGAGGCTCTTCACTCCGTGCTCCCACCCACCCAGTGTAGCTGAGTGTAACAGATAGGGGGCTGCTCCCAGCTGGCCACCCACTTACTGTGCAAGTGGAGTCCCCACGAGTCTCCTGGGGCTTCATTCTCCCCACTAAATGAGGACCTGGGCTTATCAGAGGGTCCACCGAGGTTATTCATCTTCCCAGAAGTACTATCCTCCTCTGAGCTCATGTCCAGCCAAGAGAAAGGGGTGTGGCCTTGTCGTCAGACCTGGTGGCTTGGGGGGTAAGGGGTTGGGGAGGTGTCACAGAGTGCTAATTTAGATTCAGCCTACTGGGTTCATGCCACATGCTTGTGGTATGTCTGTGTGTCTATGGCCATCCATGCCTTACACACATGAACAATGGCCATAGGGCTTCTGGAAGCTTCCTCCGAAGTTTCTGACCCCCTCTCCCCAAACACATTCCCCACCCCCAGCCTGGCCTTGGCCTGGACAAGGAGAGGTCCAGGAGGTGGACAGACAGGCAAGTCTCAGCCACCAGCCCCACCCTTTCTCCCTCTCCTGCCCAGTGGGGTCCCACAGGCCCTGACCCACCCCTGCAGGCACTAGTCCTGATGTATGCTTTCCTCCCCACAGGTTCACGTGCCCCTTTGTGGAGAAATTCTCCATCGACATCGAAACCTTTTATAAAACCGATGCTGGAGAAAACCCTAATGTGTTCAGCCTGTCTCCTGTGGAGAAGAGCCAGCTGACAATCGGTAACCACCACTATAGCGCTCCCTGCCTGGGAAGGGCAGGAGCCCTGCAGGGCCACTTTCCAGGGTCCCTGCCTACATGTCCCTTGGCTCTGCCCCTTGTCTCCAGGCCTGGAAGGCTCCAGACTGGCTCCTGTCCTGGGCAGGGAGGTCATAGTCCCAGCAAGCATGAGGGCACAGGGATGGCAGGATCAGACTCCTTGGCCCCATTTTCCTGACGTGCACATTGAGGCTCAGTGCCTTTCCCACTCAAGCCCCTTCCCTCAATCCCTTCCAGTTGTCCTCCTCCCCTGGAGGGCGCGTGTGTGCTCAGGGGGCCATCTCAGGCTGGCGGCTGTGCGTGGGTGCAGCCTGTGGGGGCTCTGGCACACTGCAGGGCCTGTGTCCCCTTGACGGTGAGTGGCCTCTCCAGCTGACTGTACATGAGGAAACAGCCCGTCTGTTAACTTAAGAGAGGCCTGAGAATCAGGATTTGCATGTGAAATCTTCCAATTCCTAAATAAACTTAGTAAACTGGCCAAGCAAACCACATCTGTGGGCCACCTGCAGCTCAGCAGCCACTGGTCTGCAACCGGTGGGTTCCAGGCTCTGCGGGGCAAGCCACCACGGAGGTGCTTCAGGCAGGTGCGTGGCCAGGTTAGAGAGCTGCATTCCAGGCCGTGTGGGGTGAGCCGCCATGGAGGCAGGTGCATGGCCGGCGTTAGACAGATGGCTCCCAGCACCACAGGGTCCAACTCTCAGGCAGCCTCTGATGGGCACGAAGGGCTTCTCCCCGGGACCCCCTCACCCGGCTCCCTCCCTCCTGCTGGAGTTTTCAGGCCCCATGGGGCTTTGGGAGCTCTATCAGTGTGAACAGGCTGCCGCAATGTACCACAGGCTGGGGGGCTAAACACAGAAGTTTAGTGTCTCGCTAAAGTCTGAGGTCAGAGTGTGAGCAGGCTTGTCTCCTTATGGAGTCACTGAGGGAGAATCTGTGCATGCCCTTCCCCTAGCTTCTGGTGGCTCCTGGCAGTTTCTGGCATTCCTTGGCATATAAATACATCACCCTAATCTCTCCCTCATCCTCACGTGGCGCTCTCCCCGTGTGCTTGTCTGTGTCCAAATTTCCCCTTTTTAGAAGCAGATTAGTCATAGTGGAGTAGAGCCTACCCTAATGACCTCATTTTAATTTGGTTCCTTCTTTAAAGGCCTTATCTCCAAATAAGGTCACGTTCTGAGGAACTGGAGGGTTAGGGCTCCAACATACGAATTTGTAGGGGACACATTCGACCCACAACAGGAGGGATGGACCCCGCATGATACAGGCCTTCTGCCAGCTCAGGTGCAGCCGGCCTCAGACAAGGCCTGACCTCCATGGGCTGCCTCCGGAGGCCACCTGCTGTGATTCCTAAGTCTCTGTGATATGACTCATCCATGTCCCGGCCTGCCCCTTGGCCTTTACCTGTCCGCGCAGGCAGCGCATGTGGTCTGCTCCACGAAGGATGTCTGTCCCTCCCCCGAAAGCCCCTGCCCCTGGGGAGCTCCTGACCCCTTGCTGATTTCCGTGGAGCCCACGTCTGTGCCTGCAAACCACCACGTGGATTCAGTGTGGGCCAGCAAGCAGGGGAGATGAGACAGAGCGTGGCCAGGGCAGAGCCCGCCGGGTACCATCATCCCCATGCATCCCGAAAAGGGCCTCTCTGAGCCACAAACTCTCTTCTGGGGTTTATGTACCCCAAGTGTGTACCCAGTCCTCTGTAACACATGCATGCCTTGGGAGCCCGCACAGCAGGGAGAGACTTGGGACAAGAGGTGGCATGGCCCAGGCCCTGCCCCTAGTTGCTGCTGTTCCTCTTGGATCCATACCCCACACCCAGCCAGGTCCCACCGCCCCCAGTCCTGTTTCCCCAGCACCCAGCCCTGTGGCATCCACTACCCGCTCTCAGGACCGACACCTCCTGCCGATCTCTTCCCTTCTGACCTAAGAGGGGCTCCTACCCGGCCAGCCTGCCTTAAAGCCACTACGTGTATATATAAGGAGAATATAGCGCCATTTCCCCTCAGGGTACCGTGTGGGTGCCCAGCCTGGTGAGAGAAGGACGCATCCCCATCCCCTCTCCCGATACAGACACTCTAGTGGCCCCCCAAACTCTCCCCATCCTTTGCTGCTGGAACCTTCTCGGCTTCGCTGCTTTGCTCCTGTAGCTGAAATGCCACCTTTTCTGGGAATCTCTTCCCGGCCTTCCCTTCTGTTTCCCTGCCCCCCGGCAGCCACCACCCTGTTCCACATCCTCTGTGGAAACTCATCTCCCTGTGCCTCCTAAGCTCATCATCTAATTTGTCTGCTTAGGCAAGTGGTAGAGTCATGGGAGGACACAGGCCCTGAGGTCAGGAGAGCCCAAAGTCAGAGTGGCCCAGAGCAGCATCCCCAATCCCAGGTCCGGCCTATGGCACAGGAGGCCCAGAGGCCTGTGAGGACTTGAGGGGGGAGGGCAGAGACACAGGGGAGGGGACTGAACAGGGAGGGGCGGGCTGGAGGTTGGGCGGAAGTGGCCACCGGCGGGCTCTCCCCCACAGACTTCATCGACATTGTCAAGGATCCCGTACCCCCCAGTGAGTATAAGACAGAAGAGGACCCCAAGCTATTCCACTCGATCAAGACACAGCGGGGGCCGCTGTCTGACAACTGGATCGAAGAGTACAAGCAGCAGGTTTTCCCCATCATGTGCGCCTACAAGCTCTGTAAGGTTGAGTTCCGCTACTGGGGCATGCAGTCCAAGATCGAGAGGTTCATCCACGACACGGGTGAGCTCGCCAGTGCCCGCCGCCTCCCTCCGCGTCCGGGGCAGGTCCCTCCTCCTCCCAGAAGCTGACCCAGAGCCCATGCGCAGCTTCCTGCCCAGTTTATCTTGGCTGCTTGCCGAGCACCTACAGATGACAAGCGGCGTCCCCGGGCCCTGCCCCCAGACACTCTTGACTGGCTTGTGTTTGTAGCATATAGTGCCAGCCCCCTGAGGAGGAGCAGCCCCAGGAGACAGCCTCCCTGCTCTTACCTGCACCTCTTACCCCAGGCCCCAGCTCTGCCTCCCCTATGGGCTGGACGTTCCAGGCACAGAGGGCCTTGGACGCCGTGGTGCCCTCACACTGTGGAGCCCGGCCTGGAGCAGGTGTCCAGGGAACAGGTGGACCAGCAGGACCAACCTGGGGCTCCTGGCCCAGCGAGAGCTGACCCGGGCTCCTCCCTCCCCTAGCACCCCCAGCTCCCTACCTGCCCCCCCGCCCCTACCCAGGTCATGGCATGAGATCAGTGCCAAGGGCCTGGCCCAGCCCAAGCTCATGAGCCAGGAGTAGCACCTGGACAGACATCTTTTGACTCCAAGGCCCAGGGTTTTGGTTCAGATGTGAATCTTTGGAACAGATGTCCCACACTGTTGATGATATGCTTCACATGTGCTGTAACAGCTCACAATGACCTGTGAGGATAGCCAAGTCACCCGTCCGTTTGTAGAGGAGGAAGCAGAGACCCAGTGCTGGGTCTGACCCCAGATCTCCCTTCCTAGCTACCCTGGATCTGAACTGATATTCTCATAGCAGTGGGGCCGTGGCTTCTCATCAGATGGTCTGTTGAGTGTGGGACCCAAGGATAGTATGCCTGAGGCCATCGCCCAGGACTTGGAGGACATAGTCTTGGCTGAAGGAGGGCAGAGGGTGAAGGGATCTGGGAAGTATTTCTGGGGAGGCAGAGCGGCCTGAGCCAGGAGGAATGGTCACCATAGAGCTGCCTGAGGACATGACATGGGTTGACCACTTGGAAAGCCGCTCTACTTTCTTTAGGAGAGTGGAAGATGCATGCCTTGAGACCCAGTGATGTCCCTCCCAGGTTTGCCCCTTGGAGAAACTCTTATACACATTCCAGAATGTTCAGAGCAGCAGATTTGTAAAAGCCAAGTGGACAAACAATGAAAGTGAGCCAAAGGCCCAATGGCAAAAGAAGGAATAAATGAAATGTGGTATTTCAAACAAATAAACATCATGCAGCAACGAACCTGAAACTCACCCAAAACAGCAGGCGGCAGGAAAATACATGCAGCTTGACACATACACGTAAAAATGTCAATAACCTGCAAACCAACCCAACCTATCGTGTAGAGAAACACACCTGTGTGCTCCAACCAGAAAGAAAAGCAAATAAACACAGAGTCGAAGCTGGACTGGGCAGGGGGAGAATGCGTCCAGGAGGGCCAGCCAAGGGCTCCCTGTTACTGGTCATGTCTGCTCCCTCACTGGGTGGTGTGGGTAAGGATGCTCTATTTCTTCTTAATGTTTTCTTAACGAGCTTTATTGAGGCCTAATTTTACACACCATACACTTCACCCCTTGCAAGAGGACAGTTCTATAAGTGGCAGTATATTCAGAGTCGTGCACACTGTTCTAGAACATTCCATCACCTCAGTCTTTCGTTCCTGTTCACAGTCACCCCCACTCCCACCCCCAGCCCAAGGCAACCCCCATCTGCCTTCTGTCCCTAAAGTTCTTTTATTATCCTTTCTACCTTGAAAGCTCTTACTTTCGTTATTTTACACGCATGATATATTCTTCTGTATCTTTATCTTCTTTTGTGTCTTATTTTATGTGTATATATGTTCTACTTATAAGAAAAAGGACCAACCCACTTTGAACTGGAACTTGATTTCCATGTGGAAATTGGACAGGAAAAGTGTATAGATACCAACCGAGACAGAAAACTGGCAGGAATCCCCCCTCCGTCTCCCCTTGGGGCAGGAATCCCCCCAAAATTCAGTGTGGCTTCTGAGCAGGCACATTCCCTTAGGAGGCACCCCTGCTCTAGTTATACAACCACCGTGAGCTTGTGAGGTCATCTGTGAGCCATTTGCAAGTGGGGAAACTGAGGCACAGGGTAGGGAGGGCAGTGATTTGCCCACGGCCACACGGTGGGGATGACCTTGGGTTGCCTCCCAGCCCCGAGCCCGGCCCTGGGGGCTGACAGTGCCCGTGTCTCCTGTCTCTCCCCTCCCCCTGCCGCTGCCCGGGACCAGGCCTGCGGAAGGTGATGGTCAGGGCCCACCGGCAGGCCTGGTGCTGGCAGGACGAATGGTACGGGCTCAACATGGAGAACATCCGGGAGCTGGAGAAGGAGGCACAGCTCATGCTGTCCCGCAAGATGGCCCGGTTCAATGAGGATGACGAGGAGGCTGTGCAGCTGGCCAAGGACGAAGCCATCCAGGTCCAGGTCGCTGGGGAGCCCGCCCAGCCCAACAGCAGCAGCAGCAGCGGGGAACCCCTGGCGGGCCGGGGTCTCAAAAAGCAGTGGTCCACATCCTCCAAGTCTTCGAGGTCGTCCAAGCGGGGAGGTGAGCGCCGTAGCTCCGCCTTTTACCACCCCGGCAACAGCCGTCACCCCCGCTCCGGGCAGCCCCTTGCCACCCACCGTCAGAGAATTCTGGCTCCTCCCGGGGACTCTTGCCCCCAGACCTTGTGGGCCACGCCTGAGGGGGGTCAGAACCATTCTGCTGGTAACCGCCCCCCCCCCAACACAAAACAGGTGGCCCAGACTCACCTACAAGGGCCAGGTGAGACAGGCTGGCCATGTGGGAACCCAGTTCCCAGCCTCTCCTGGGGCCCAGATGGCTGCAGCTCTGAGGAGCTGGGCTTCCCAGGAGGAGGGGGGGTTCTTAGTGGGTACCTGTCAGCACAGCCAGGAGGGGCCTCTGCTCCTGTGGTGGGAGCCAGGCTGAAGGAGTCTGAAAGCCTTTACATCCTGAGAGAGGCTTTTCTCGGGAGAATTTTTGCAAAAGCACCGTGGCTGTTTGGGAAACCAGGATTATCCTGTGTAGAGCCAGGAGTCCCCTCTGTGAGTCCAGCTTCCCCACACCAGGCTTGGCCGTCTGTGTGCTGAAGGCATCTGTGTATGTATATGTGTCGATGCCTTTTATGTGCTCACTTGCCGACAGCACCCCGCAGCCCCATCTGTCTGCTCTGCTGCAGGGGAACTGAAGGGGCTCGCTCCCGGAAAGACCCAGGTCAAAGGCACAGGAGCAGACCCAGGTCTGTGCGACTGTGCGTCCTGGCCTCATACCTGACACCCTCCCCCTTCCTTGTCCTCCCCGGGACATACCTGTTTTGTGCCAGGTGGGCTGGGCGGGGCCGTCTTGAAAGTTCCAGGAGCTTCCACCAAAATGAGCCAGGGTCACCCCACCCCTCATTTCTCCCTCCGTTCTCTCCTGAGCCCTCCCGGCCCATCACCTCTGCCTGCCTTCCGCCCGCCCGGCCTCACCCAGCCGGGTGGTGGGTCAGCCTGCGGTTTTGCCTTCCAGCCAGCCCTTCCCGCCACAGCATCTCCGAGTGGAGGATGCAGAGCATCGCCCGGGACTCGGACGAAGGCTCCGAAGATGAGTACTTCGACGCTCATGGTAGGCGGTGGCTCCTCCCGGGGCAGAGTGGGAGGATCTGGGCAGGGTTGGAGCAGGAGGCGTGGACTGAAGCAGCAGTGGGGCAGAGCATGAGACGAAATCACCGGGAGTCTGGGGTCTCACCCTGGCCACGTGCCGGGATGTCTCTGCCGGGCCTGGCAGGCAGGGACTGTTCTCTCGAGCACCGTCCCCCTCAGGATGGATTTATACAGTCAGACGGGGGCTTTTTTCCATATGTGAGTTTATTTCCACAAGCAGCTTTACCAAAGCATGACATCTTACGGTTTTCTAAATTTTTGCAATGACCTTGTTTTTTGCCTTGGTTAAATGCAAGTACACCGAATGTAGAAACTTTAGAAACTGCGATGAGCCGGAAATATGTGAGGTGCCCGTCTTCCCACTAATCCCCAAATCAACACAGTGAGCACACGGCCTGACGAATCACCCACCTGTGCTGGGAAGGTGCGGGTACACTGAACCTTCAAACGACACGAGTTTGAACGCTCCAGGTCCACTCACACGTGCTTTCTCCCCCAGTAAATACAGTACCGTAAATGTATTTTCTCTGCCTTATGATTTTCTTAACAACATTGGTTTTTTTCCACCTAGCCTAGTTTATTGTAAGAATATGGTATATAATACATATGACATACAAAATGTGTGTCAGTTGACTGTTTATGTCACCGGTTGGGCTTCCGGTCAACAGCAAGCTGTTAGTGGTTAAGTTTCTGGGGAGTCAGAAGTTTTACACGGATTTTTGACTCTGCGGGGGGCCAGCGTCCCAGCCCTCCCTCCCTCCCCTCTCCCCCCACCGTGTTGTTCAAGGGTCAACTGTGCTAAACATTCACTTGCTTCATACCTTGGCCGTTCCTCTCGACTGGCAGACAGGTCTGTGGAGACAGTTCTCCGGCTTGTGATTTACAAGGCGGGACACCGGCTCGGAAAGGGAGGGGAACTTGCCCACAGGCGCTAGGCAGGGCAGCGGCAGGCCAGAGCCCTCTCACGCTGCAGCCACCTGACTGTTATGGCATCTTAGTTAACTGGCTGGTCTCGAGGGAAAACTTGGTGGGGGGGAGGGGGTGTCAGTGTCCAGGCAAGAGGGATCTAAGATGGGGAGCTGCAGAGGGTGGCAGGTGGTTCCTGAGCCGCCCTCGGTACCTGGGTCCTCCCCAAGGGTGAAGAAAGGTGTCTGGGGCATCCCATCCCACCCCAGCCAAGCTAAGAGGTGCACCCTCCCCTGGCTGTGAGTCCCTGACAAGAGGAAAATACACATCTAATGTAGGAACTTTTTTTTTTTTTTAATGTTTGTTTATTTTTGAGAGAGAGACACATAGAGCACAAGCTAGGAGAGGCAGAGAGAGGGAGACACAGAATCCGAAGCAGGATCCAGGCTCTGAGCTGTCGGCACAGACCCTGACGTGGGGCTCGAACTCCTAAACCGTGAGATCGTGACCTGAGCTGAAGTCAGACGCTTAACCGACTAAGCCACCCAGGCGCCCCTAATGTAGGAACTTTAAAAAAAAAAAAAATCAAAAAACAAAAACAGAAGGGAGAAGAGACAGCAAAGTAGGAGATGCCAGAGCGGCCGTGGCTGGGGAAGCACCTGCTGACCCGCTGTGTGGCCAGAGGAGTGACCAGTACAAGCCAGCGTCTGCACAGCTGCCTCCAGCCCCGTGGTCCCCAGGCCAATGGTCTCGGAAAAGCAGAAACTAGAGAAATGGATGGAAGTGTTCAGAGCAGTGCCTCTCGCCGGGCTGTACTCGTGCAGATGTTGAAAACAGGAACATTAGCTGATGAGTGGAGAAACAATATACTGTGATGCGGTCCGTCTATACTGTGAAATAGGACTGGGCCCTAAAAAAGAACGAAACTCTGACGCCTGCTACAATGTAGATGGAGTTTGAGAGTATGATGCTCAGTGAGAGAAGCCAGACACAAAAGGCCGCATCCCGTGTGATTCCGTTATGTGAAATGTCCAGAACAGGCAAATCCATGGAGACAGAAACTAGACAGGTGGTTACCAGGGGCCAGGGCACGGGGTGTGACTGCTAATGGCTACAAGGCTTCCATTCGGGGAGGTGGAAATGTTCTGGAACCAGATAGAGGTGGCAGTTGCACAGCATTGTGAATGGACTAAATGCTACTTTAAAATGGTTCAGATGGTGAATTTTATGTTATGTGAACGTTACACAATTTTGAGAAAAGGTCAGGCAGAAGCCCTGCGGGTGCTGGTCAGGTGTTCATCCTGCTAAGGAGGGAGAGGGTGGAAGCCAGCATGGAGGGTACGGGCCAGAGGAGCATGGGAACCCCCACAGTGGCCACACCTACCCCTGTACCTCCCAGCCAGGCCTCCCGGTGCCCCTCAGTCCCTGCCTTCGAATGGGTCGGTGCTGAAGCCCCACTCTCTCCTCCCCAGAGGACCTGTCCGATTCAGAGGAAATATTCCCCAAGGACATCACCAAATGGAACTCCAATGACCTCATGGACAAAATTGAAAGCCCTGAGCCAGAGGACACACAGGGTACCTTGGTCTGGGGGGGGCTACAGGGCCTGGGGGAGGGTGGCCGCAGGGGCCAAGCCCTTCTCTGCCCCAGCTCCTTAGCAGTGC